ATCCATTCATTATCTGATTTTGGTTAACTAGTTTTATAGTTTTATTGATATGTTTCATGTCTTATTTCAATGAAAATGAGAAGTATATGAACTGGGAGACCATATAATCGACCGCTGGAAATTAATAAGTTCATCACAAAAATCCAGAAGGTATGTTTTTTTTTTTTTTAAATTGCATGGTTTTCTCACACACAAATAATAATAATAATAATAATAATAATAATAATAATAATAATAATAATACCTACAAAATTCAATCAATATTTTGGCAACAATGAATGAATGTGCTAACATCTGTTATCTAATCTATTAAACAACATCATGGAGTAGGTTGGAGCCTAGATAAAAACAATTATGCTCATATTTATTAGCAAAATAATTTGTTCGATGATACAACAATATATGCGATATTCGATTTATAACTTTAAAATACGAAAACTGCTTATTTTGAACAAATTATTGCAAAAAAAAAAAATCATAACTACATCTATCATGAGTATGAAAGTACCTTGTTCGTTGGATAGCATATGATGTCTGATTATTGATATCCGACTTTTTTCCACCATTGGTATCCTTCATCTGATCTTGAAGTCTTTTGAAGCCCTGCAAATAAATTTCATTACATATATAAATCAGAAAAAAAAAAAATTGATTAAACAACAATATATAATTTTGAAAATCTTAAGTTCTGTGCAATTTAAATTAAACTAGAAGAACAATAAGGCTAGACTGAAAATATTAAGTTTTGTGCAATTTAAAATTAAAGTACCGGACAAATTTTGTAGTTGTTATGTGGGATAATCTCATATATTTAGAGGAGATAATTCTGTTTTTATAGGTATTCACAATAACCTTGTTATGAAGTTTAAGAAAAATAATTTATTCTATAATTAGTTGTGTACATAAGGAAAAAAATCGGTATATTTAAGCAGTGAATAAATACACGATTCACGGTGTTATTTTGTATCGAAAAATAGGCATACAATAATATTTGTATCTTAAAATACTCTTATATTTTTTATTGTAAATAGGGGAGAAAAAAAAAAGATATGTATTCATATTTAGGTTAATATTTAGCTCATCTTATTGCACATGTAATAGAAAAGATATGAATTGATTTAGAAAGGAATAAATCCCTTAGATAATCATCTCATTATATCCTTTAGAAAAATAAAAAATAAAAAATTATGAGATGGTTTCATAGGCATCAATATTTCTTATACAAAATATGCTAATAAATATCTAAAATACACAATTTTTTCGACTAATTAGTGTCGAGTGGGAAATGGAGTTCGGTTTTGAAACATTTGTTCGGTTTTTTGTTCTCTGCATTTTGGTTTGTTGTTCTCTGCATTTTCGGGACCTTTACTTTTTCGGTTACATCAACTGTTAAATCAACTATTCACGACGATTACATAATGATCAAACTGTTACAAATTCCCACGGAATGATTTTATAACGAGATGGTAGCACTGTTTAGTGTTGCAAGTGTTGTAATTTAAACAAGTTTGTCCACACACTCTAATGAAAAGTTCATCAGATACTCTAATGAGATCCTATAATTCGTTATATGAATTGACCAAATTACCCCTCATATATTTCTTCAATAAATAGACGAGTTTCGCAACCCTAGCTGCTCCAATCCCGCCTCCATCCCTTCAGTTCTGTGAAAACTGATTACTTATTATTTTTGTATTTTTTTTTTTTTTTTGTTTTTTTGTTCTTCCATATCACGAACATAATTATGTGTGTGAGTATGTGAAGGAGCGATGATGAAGGAAAGAATATATAATCTCGTTAATCCGATGATTAGTGAAGATAAACATCTCTAATCCATTCTTAATCTCCTGAGCTCCTTCTCTCACTCTAATTTTATTTATCGATTGGCTTGTTCTATGCTGTTTTTAATTTTGTTTTTGATTGTGTTCTGCTGGGGAAAAAAAAATTGAAATAAATGTATTTATTGTAGCATTATTATAATCAATATTATATGTAATATTTTACCATTTAAATTTCTTATTCTTTTAGCTGTAAATTAATTATGTCGTTTATTATAGTTGCCTGATGATGGATTCGTTTTCATTTTGATTTGTGGAAGCTCTAACTTGATTTGAATTTAGATAAAATAAGATTGATATTTTGATTGAGATAGAGGGAGCATGAACTAAAGATTGCAATAATACCAAAAAATTGCTTGTTTGACTGTGGTATAAAAGTTTTTTTTTTTTTGAATTGACAAAATTTACAGTCATATCTATTGAAGTTTGTTACTTAACTAAGAGTCCAAACCTTTAATTTACATAATTACAATTTACTTGAATCACTAGCTAATGCAGTTGATTAAAATCTATATATATTGAAAAAGAATGACAAAAAGATTTAAAATTTTAATTGCAAATTTGTAATTAGATATGTTGACTTTCTATTCAAGGATTAAAAAAAGATAAATTGATTTTATCACTAATAATTGTTGTTGATATTTGAGTCAGCTCGATAGGGAATTCACGGGTCAACGAGAAGGAACCGGAAGAAGACGACCTTAGAACCCGGATCGGGGTTCGAGAAATCACGAAATGTTGGGCCGACATTGACCAGGACGATGGACCACACGAGTTTCAAGATCGGCACCTCCTACATCATAGCTTTGAGGTCGACCCTTGGAGATGCGGATTAGAAAAACGTCATCCTTAAGACCAGAAGATGAAATAATTGTGGAAGTCTGACCTGAAGATTCCACGAGACCGACTCCCGCATGAACACATGCCTAAAAAATAATATAATATTCCCACTGGGCGGATGATTGCAATGGGACGCGTCAGTCTAGTATACAACCCTATGGAATCTAATTCGTGAAAAAGGTCTGTCAGCTTTAAATGTTGCAGGTGTATATTTAATGTCTGACAAGTAATCGTTATAGATACCTCAAATAGCATTTAATTATCTATTAGAACGGCGTCAACTTGTCATTACTGTGTGAAGTGACATGGTGAACAATATCGAACATTACCAGGCCAATGATACTATAAATAGAACACTCATTTCATTTGTTATGGGTTGTTGTATTTACCACCAACAAATTCTTTATCTACAATTACTCCTCTTATTTTAAAATAATTCCCCGTGGATATTCAACTTGTAACTAAAGTGTTGACCTCAATATCAAAGGCCGACCTCGTAGTTAATATAATAAAACCCTATTTCTCTCGTAAATCTTTCTTAATCCTTATTCTTATCATCACTAAATTTTCATTTAACTGTTGATCAGATCATACCATCAACAACTGCAATGAACCCGTTTTTAAAAAGTCCATATTTTGATTGAGAACTAGTATTCAACCTGTGCATTTGCACAGATGTAAATAAAGTATTATGAGTTATTTGTATGCATATAGTGATCAATAATTTTTCTTGCACTTTTGGTCGGCCAAATTTACATTTAAAAGAGTTGGAATATTTATTTTTTAAAATTGCGTTTATCATATTAGATGTAATGTATATTTTTGTATGTATTTTTTTATGAATTATTTATTAGTTATTTAAAAATTTCAAATATGTTTTTTTTATTTTTCAAAAGAAGTTAATTTAATTGTAACCACAACAATAACATCTAATCACGTTAAATAGTCAAAACATTATATGGTCAACTGTAATTAAATCAAAAGTTTAGAATTATTTTTGTATTTTGAAGTGATTAGTTTGTTGATTATCTAATAACTAAATGAGAGGTTAAATAAATAAAAAGTAACGGTTTTTTGAGGGAAAAGCTATATTGCCACATAGGTATAATTTAATAGGTTTAATTTAATGCTCATATGCTAGCAATTATATATATATATATAGATATCATAACAAATTTCATATAAATTAATAGAATAGAAACAAAAATTATTATTTATAATATACATTATTATAACTTATAAGATAAAATAAAATAATATTGATGTTATCAAAAATCAATTTTTTGTAACTTCAAATAATATATATTACAACATTTTCTTAATTAAGTGACTGATTATAATGACTGACACAAAATTTTCAACTTTAGCATAACTTATTTAAAACTCGACATAATATATTATAATAAAGTATGCGGAAGAAAATAGAAAAAAAAAACAATATTTCGAAACAATTATAAAATTAAAAAAAAAAAGATAAATTAATTATGCATAACTAAACCTTAAAATTCCCTTAAATAAATAATAATAATAAAAAAAAGTAATACCGGTGGGGGAATTCCTTTTCCCAATTCCGGTGGGCGAAACAGCCGTGGTCTGCCTGCTGTTCCGCCGTCATCCAACACAGAAACGACCAATCAAAGCTGAAAACCGCGTCCTCTCGCGAGAAAATTCCAATTCCAACCGCCGTTGATATTCAATCCCCTAAAACTCAATCAATCATCTTTCACGGCTCTACGGAAAGTATTCAACAATTTGACCCACTCACAAGGCCAACACAATTCAAAGACGCCTCTGCAAATTTCAAAAATCCTGATCGATTCAATTTTTCTTCTCACACTCCTCGATCTATACGTTTATATCTATCGATTGGAGCCTTTTGAGAGAGGCAAATTCCCAAAAAAAAAAAAAAAAAAAAAAATGGAGCCGTTGATGGAGGAGGAAGAGTACAACTGGCGGGAAGTGATTCTGCCGTCACTGATACCGGTGGTGGCCGCGCCGGAGCTCGATCGGGAAACCGGCGAGAGGAGGAGGGGCCGCGACGTGATCGTGGCCGTCGATCACGGGCCCAATAGCAAGCACGCATTCGACTGGGCCTTGACCCATCTCTGCCGTCTGGCCGACACCGTCCACCTCGTCCACGCCGTGTCCAGTAAGAATCAAATCATTTGCCTTAACATTTTTCTGAAATTTTCCCAATTTAATCAGTTTTTTTTTTTTCCTTTTTTTTTTTCATAATGTTTGGAAGGTTTTAAGAACGAGATTGTGTATGAGATGACTCAAGGCTTGATGGAGAAGCTTGCGGTGGAAGCATTTGAGATTGCTATGGTGAGCTTTCTTGTTTTTTTGTTTTATACTCTCTGGAATTATAAATTATCATACTGGTAATCAACATATATTTCATGGTTCGTTTGATTATCACAGATTCTGTAGTGTAGCTGAAACAGTTAGAAATTTGAAAGTTTGTTTGATTCGACTGATGTGAAATTTTGTTCTCACATGTAAAATTGAGCTCATACTAAGCTTTGAATGTCTTGAGAATGTGTGTGTGAGAATGTGTGTGATCCAACGGTTTGAATAGTCTACCCACGTGTAGGATCGAACTCTCCTAAATCTTGCACTTTTACGAACTTGTGTTGAATTTTGTGCTTTGTTTCAAGTTTGAGGCAACTTTGTTTCTTTTACGCTGGAAGATTATGATCAGACAGTTATAGACATACATGTAATTTGGGTTTGGCAATAATGGCATTGAATATATTGTGTAGTTTTCCACCTTTCTGATATTATAACCATCGTTTTTGGGGTAATTTCTGTCTTCGAGTCCATAAAGAAGCTCATCTCTTGCTTTCCACGACTCTTAAAAGTGTTAGAAATTGAAAACGAAATCTAACAAACCCTTTTGTATCAAACTCGTAACCTCGAAATCTAGTTGAAATAACAATACTAAAATTGCCGAAATAGGTGAAGACAAAGGCAAGGATTGTGGAAGGAGATGCAGGCAAGGCAATATGCCGTGAAGCCGAGAGGCTGAGACCTGCGGCAGTTGTAGTGGGCACAAGGGGCCGTGGCTTTATCCAAAGGTACTCTCTTTTAAGATGTTGTGGTACTTTACACAATGTTGCGAATTTGCCACTCTCACGCAACACATTATTTGTATATTATTGTTAATTTTTTTTTGGCAGTGTAATACAGGGCAGCGTTAGCGAATACTGTTTCCGTAATTGTAAAACAGCGCCGGTTATAATTGTTCCTGGGAAAGGTAGAATTACGATCATTTAACTACACTCGGTTGTTCTTATTTCTTGGTTAAACGTAGTTATAAATGCAATGTCGTCATTACAGATGCCGGGGAAGGGTCTGTTCTGTGATGGAGCTTAGCTTGCTGGGGAATGAACAATTGTAAGAGTTTTGCGCTTAAATTTTGTCTGCGTTTCAGTTAATTGCGTACTTAGTTGTCTGTAAGTACATTTCTTAGTCTCGTAATTGTGTAATTAGTTGTCTGTAAGTATATTTGTTGTGCAATAGCAGGATGACATGTTGATGTTTTAAAACGTATGTGATGAGATTGTTGTTATGCAGAGTGAGGTATATTAATGGACAGTTGTGTTTGTGATTAAAACATATATAAGTCCTCCTTTGCCTCTTATTCTGTAACATAAATTGTTCTGATCTTGTGGAATAATATTTTTCCAACGAAATTATGATTGGAAATTGTTTTTCAAACTTCATTTTCAACCTTTTTTTTCCCCTTCACTTTCATCAGTATAATTAAAAAAATATAAATAAATTATTACTACACATTTGTTATAAAATTTATTGCCCACATATTTTTAATTATTAATTACTTATTAATCTTCAATATTATAATGTACTTATCTCATATGCATAAATAAATCATCAGTATTCCACAAAATATTTTCCACCTTTTTCACTACTTTTACCAAGAGATAAATTTTTCTTAAAATAATCCACATTTAATGGAGGGTGAAAAATCACTATCAGACTGCGAAAAATGTCGGATGTGATCACAATTTATGGTGGCCGGTGTTGGTATTTTGTTTATTTAAGTAAAAAATTTTATATGATTGATTTGATATTTTTAGAACGTTTGTTAATTCTTTTCCTTTCCTTTTTTTACTATGGCTATGTTAGGTAAAACTAGCTGATAAACTAGCTTATAACCAATGTTCTAGAAGTCGCTATGCGCCCGCTAGGCGCTCGACCAGCGCCTAGGGCCTAGAGCGCCTAGTCGGGGCCTAGGCGGGGTCTAGGCGGGGCGTAGAAGTTATAATAAATATATTATTTTTATTTATTTTCACAATTTCCCTAATGAAATTACAAGTTATAATTAATAAATCTAGATTTAAAGTTTTAAATTTCTACTTCTCATTGTAGTTTAAAAGCCTATAAATGTGGGTTCTACTAAATTTCTACCAAGTTTTTCACTAGAATAAATTAAAAGTTACATCATAATGCATTAAAAGCCTAGAAATCATGCATATGTCATGGGAAAGCAAAAAGTTAATGTGCTAGAATACATTAAAAGCACTATACAGTAAATAAATTAATGTCCAGCCACATCTTCCAACAAAACACACGCGTTTTCATAAAGCTGTCTAGAAATGAATTAATGTACCGAAAATGGCTCACGCTCACTTCACCTTCTTCTCGACCTTCCAATTTCAGAAGTTAAAATTCATCTTCTTGTACGAAAAAAAAAAAATTCATCTTCTCCTCCCTTCCAATTTCTGAAGTCCGAATTTTAGATCCGCCGTTCCAACTTTAGATCGGTTTTAGCCTTCCAAATTCAGTCCCCGTCTCCCGATTTTGATCGTCCAGCTTCAAGCCTTCAACCCTATCGACCCCGGTCAACGTATCCGACCTCAGCCGCCGAGAACCCGCCTCAGCCGCCTAGTCCCGCCAAAAACGCGTAGCCGCCGTGACCGCCGAGGCCGACTAGCTCCGCCTAGCCCCGCCTAGCCCGCCTGACCAACTTTTATGGTCGATTTTAGCAAATCGGCGGCGGCGGACCGCCGCCTAGCGCCTAGGCGCCGCCTAGGCGGCCGCCTAGGCCGATTTTTAGAACACTGCTTATAACTTATCGATAAACTAGCTGGAATAAAAAATTCAACTAACTTATTTGAAAAACTATATAAGAAAGGTTATCAAATAAGCTCAAGCTTTTTAAAAAAGCTCGTCCGACCAAACGAGGCTTATTTGAATACAGGAAGCTTATAAGCTAACCAAATAAGTTATAAGCTAGCTTATTTGTCTACCCAACATAGACTATGTCTAGAGTTTTTGTTACATCATCGTATAACCGTCACATATAGTTGATCTAACACCATCGTGTATAACCGTCATATATAGTTGATCTAACACCATCGTGTATAACTGTCATATATAATTGATCTAACGGTTACAATCAGATGTAATTAATCTAATGGTTACAATAATTAATCTAACAGTTACAATCAGATGTAATTAATCTAATGGTTACAATAATTAATCTAACCGTTACAAACCAAGAAAGAAAGTATGAATCAGCCAATGAAGTAAAAAATAAATAAATAAATAACTAAAATGAATAGATTCGATTAAAATCTCAATTTACTTCATTCATTCATCAGAACTCTGTAAACATTGATTTTGTACATGAGAAAAACCCAGCAACACCGACGACGAAAACAGAAAACCAAGTAACAAAACAGCATAAAAAGTCCCAACACAAGTACCGTTTTAAAACAAAACAAAACCCTAATTCCTCCAGCTCCCCTCAGAACGATCGCCGCCATAACCGCCACCGCGTCCACCGCCGTAGCCACCCTCCCGGCGTCCTCCGTACCCACCACCACCGTTTCCACCGCCGTACCCACCCTCGCGACGGCCGCCGTAACCTCCGCCGTTCCCTCCTCCGTATCCACCACCATCACGGCGAGGACCACCACGGAAACCCCCACCTCCGCCGCCGCCGCCGCCGCCGCGTGACTGAGCCTCATTCACGGTGATATTCCGCCCATCGAGCTCCTGGCCGTTCATGGCGTCGATCGCGTCCCTCATCGCCTTTTCGTCGCCAAAGGTGACGAATCCGAAACCTCTTGATCTACCAGTCTCCCGATCCATGATGATCTGAAATTCCACCATAAAAAAATTCGCAAAAAAAAAAAAAAAATAGGTCAAATACTCCCAAACGTCAGATTAAAAAAAAAATTACACAACAATTAAACGATGATTCAATCTTCAACCCTCTGGTAAAAAAGAGGAAGACGGAACGTACCGTTTTTCCGGTGGGTAAATACAGTAACAGAAACAGTAACACAGTAACTCAGAGAGTAGTAACAGTAGTACACAGTAACGTGATTTTTCAATCTTTATTTTTTTTCTTAGTAACAGATCAGATAGAGAGACGGCCGGAGTCCGATCCCGGCGACAGCAAACAGACCTTCGATTCGAGAACTTCGCCGTACTTTGAGAACGCCTGCTCTAGAGACTGATCGGTGGTGGCCCACGCCAAGCCACCGACGAAACAACGATACTCAACGTCTGCGGCGGCCATTGATGAACTAATTAAGATGATTAGTAGGGACGGCGGAGAGAGAGAGGAAACGGGCTGAGTGACGACGGAGGTTGAAATTTAGAGGGGATTATATAGGCGGAGGTGGCTAGGTTTTCGTGGTTGCACGACCGTGGTTAAACCGTGGAAAGTGGAGTTGTTTTGTGGGAGATGTGTGGTTAACTAACCAGAGTTAAACTGGTTAGTTGGGTGGGGAATGGGGATTAACGAAACATTTTCAGAGTGGGGGTCCGCTACGTGACGCACGGGGTTAGTTTTTATAAAAAATATCTACTCCATTCAAAAATATCTTCGCCGTTTTCGATTGGGCATTACTATTTATCGCCCCCTTTTTACTACTCACCGCCTCTTCTAATTACATTTTTGCCTTCACACTATCTCTCTACTTTCTCTCTCTATTATTTCTCTCTCGACTTTTTACGGCTCTTTTGACCGTCAAAAAAATTTCAAAAAAAATTCAAAAAAAAAATATCATGACATCAGCAAAACATTGAAGATTGACTATATATTTTTTTTACTTAAGTGAATTATTTAAATTCTATTTTTTTTGGCGTGTCCGAACGGTCCGTCCGGACACCCCATGGTGCGTCCGGAAGTTCCGTCCAGACGCACAAAAAAGTAAAAAAAAAATTAAATATAATTTACAAAGTAAAAAATATAAAAAAAATACATAGTCAATCTTCAATGTCTTGCTGATGTCATGGTATTTTTTTCGAATTTTTTCAAAATTTTTTTGACGGTCAAAAGAGCATTAAAAAATCGAGAGGGAAGAGTAGAGAGAGAAAGTAGAGAGATAATATGAAGGGCAAAAACGTAATTGAGGCGGTGAGTAGTAAAAGAGGGCCGTAAATAGCGATTCACTTTTCGATTTCATGAAATGGGTAAAAGTGGACTTTAATTGAATGCACATATTATAAGGTCCAGCCCAACAAGGCCGAGCATGCTCCATAGCCCATAGGCTCAACTTTACTCAGTATCGGCCCATTAAGTAACACTTGGCCTTTTGTATTTCGGTGCATTTTCTGTTAGTCTGCCTAATTTTCATACTAATTCTTCACAATTCAAATAAACAATACAGTATTTCATAGTATAAATATATATTTAAAAAAAATAAAAAAACATATTGACCTATATATTTCACTAGTACAACACCCGTGTATTACACGGGTGCTTGTTAATTTTTTTTTTCTTAAAATCTAAAATTAATGAGAAAAAATAGTTTGAAAATTTAAATACCTTTTATAAGAATATATATATTATTATATATTTATTATGACTCTTTTTATTTGTGCAACTTACTTGTGTTATATTATACTAATTTTTTTTAACTTACAATATATAACTACATTACATATAAATATATCAATTGAGAAATAATTTTATTTTTCTAATGAATTTTAATAAATATTATTATTTTTTATTATTATAAAGATAAATATAATTTATTTATTTCATATATACAATATGGATGTCAAATCGAAGATCATCAAAAGATGATTAATTTGATATATTATATATGTAAAATCGATAAGAAATACATAAGTTATCAAATTTTAAAATACATATATAATTCAATAGCTTATTGAAGGAAACAAATCAAAATTCAGGGATATATTAGTCACTTAGTGCCTCACTATGTAAAATTACAAAGAATTAAATGGTTATATTAGTAAAAGTGATATTAAAATACCTAAGTTAACTAAATAATATTTATGGAATACACGAACCTATATTATTATTAATTATTAATATATCAATATTATTTATCCAAACCTAATTACGAAGCATGATTCT